TCAAAATTTTACTGTTTTCCAAATTCAACTCTCTACAACAATTTTCCAAAGCAATTTTATTTTATTTTTCTTTACGTACTAAGTTTATACAATTCCCTGTAGTTTGACCTAGGACTTCCGAAAATTATATTCCTTCGCGACAACCTACACTTATATGATTCATTATTGAAGTTGTAGTAATGTGGATACACCTGAGCAAAACAATGTAGCCGAGAGGAAGGATTGATATCTCCTTTAAGTGGTGCACTCCTTGATGTTTGTTATAGGTATTCCTATATATTTTTGGGGAGATGTAATTCTTACTATCGTATATCTCATCAAATAGTGCCTTCAAGTGTTCTTGACTTTGCCACTCATCTAGAATTGCTCCAAGGGTCAGTTTATCTTCACTCTATTCCCCCAAAGGTTTTGGTTGTGTGGGCTTTGTACATGATTAGGACCAAGGGAAAGTTAGATCTAAAGACATTGTGGTGTGTCTTTATTGTTATCATAATTATCTCAGGACCAAGGAAAAGTTAGATCTAAAGGCATTGTGCTTTGTACATGATTATCGGAGGACCTAAAAGAGGTATAAGTGTTATCATCCTCAGTCTCAAGGTGTATGTTAGTTTAGATGTCACATATCATGTGACAGGCATATTTTTCCTCTCCTTTATCTTCTCTTAAGGAGAAACAGTATATTAAAGAAAAGATGTAAGGGGATGGATTCCTTCTCTTATCTCCCAACCAATATTTAAGCTAGGGAGAAAAATCTAGTGAGGAGATCCTCAAGAAGAAACACCTATTCTGGGGGAGCAGACTACTTGTGGAAGATTGGGCTAGGATGATTTGCGATGCTATACTCAATGCCAAACTAAGTAGATCACCACTTATAAGCCACCAAGTCGGTCTTTAAAATGTTTCAAAATAATGAGCTACGCTACGCAAATATCTCAAGTTTCACATGAATCGATTCCAACTTGGTCATGACTCGACAATATAGGTACAAATCAAATGCATCTCGTTTGAATTGGATGAGTCGTTTTTGAGTTGAACCGATGTCCTCAAAACCAGTCGATAGATCTCAGACAACAAAAAAATGCCAAAAAAAAAGGCAAAAGGGAAGAAGTAGATTAGACGCACATGTAGAAAAGATGACACAACTTTCTATTGCATCATCCAGCTGCTAGAATTGCTTGAACAAGAAATAAAAACTCAAAAGGAAAAGGGATTGATCAAAAAACAAAACAAAAATCACAAATCACATTTCACAGCCTTCCAGATACTTAACCCGCATGTTACTGGGCAATTTTCCAACCCTAAATTACAAAACTATATGCAATCTTCCAATTCTAAACCCTAATCAGACCTTTTTTGCCAAAAGAAGAAGTAATTAAACCAATTTGTATGAAAAACATGTAACATCCAAAAGAATCATTGTGAGAGGCCTATTCATCTTCTTCTTCTTCTTTACAAAACCGTTGCAATTCACAAAAGGCCAAGTGTTCGGCCCTAGGGTCGTTGTTTCTTCCCCCGTGACTGATCTCTAAACCTGCTCATACTGTTTTTCTCGTTCACGTCATCTCTCTCACACACAAACAAACACACGGACGAAGTTGTCTGACACTCACACCGTTACATGTCATTTTATTTTTAGATGTCCTTTTTTTTCTAATTTGTAATATTTTTAGTAAGTTTTTACTAATAACTTAATAACTGTCTAACGCAAATGTTTTTTAATAAGTTTTGCTATATATTCTTGTACAGTTCTTTTTCGTCTTAAATAGATTTTAATAATGTACTTTATTTCTTATATCGGTAATGTAGGTATACTTACGACTTGAACATATTAAGTTACTTACAAAATAGGACATAAATTAATTTTGATTGGGTATGTTTTTATATTTAACACTAATGATGACACATATTTATGGTAACTCGCTTATAATGTATTTTAACAATGAAATATGTTAGTTGATGTATTTTGACCATATGATGCATGAATGTTATTACCTATGAAGTACGGATACGGGTACGACATGATACGACAAAATTTCAAAAAATAGAATACGAATACAGGTAGGATACATCTATACATATATATATATATGTACGTATATATTAGAATGCTATTACAACACTATGAATATGAGGGATTAAGAAGTAAAACACATTAAATCTAAAATAATTTATATTACTGACATAGGACTGCTTAATGATATTTTAAATTCAAGATTCTATATGTAATTCTAAAGCTGAAGACGTGTCAGCCTTTGAGAGTCCTCAACATTTACCTGGCATTTAATTATAATAGATTTCATTGGCTTTAACATAAGTCATAAAAACTCATTAATCAAGTCGACTAAATTGTAAAGAATTGACAAATCTCGTGATATAGGTGATGCACGTCCAAATGAACATCTTGAAATGAGTAATCCTCATTTGTATGACTCACGATTTCTAAACAACCCACCGCACTAAATATAAGGCAAATGTATTCACCGTGGAGATAAACACATCTGAGGTGTATCCGATAAGTATCCAACAATGATCAATATTTTATTAATTATTCGATACATGCGAGAAGTATCAAATACGTATTCGTAAGTGTCTAACGAGTATTGAATACAGATAAGTCACCTCAATCGAAGTATTCGTGCTTCTATCTAGCGTTTTGAGCGTAACAACCGATACCGTGCCGTGTCGCTACGACTGATGTGTATCAATGCCCTCGGACTTTGAACCATGGTCATTAACCTCCGACTCAGGTTCTGTGATATCTTCCTCAACATCAGGTAATAACCTTCCTTGTAGTAATCCTATTGATGATAGTTCTTTACCTATAACTATTCAAAAAGGAGTTCGAACTTATACCCAACATCCTATTTCTAAGTTTGTTCCTTATAACTCTTTATCTTCTTCCTATCGCATTTTTGTTTCATCTTTATCTTCTATATCTCTTCTTCAGAGTTGGAATGAAACCCTTGCAGAGACAAAACCCAAGTGGAAAGCAACCATGATAGAAGAGATGAGAGTTCTAGAAAAGAATAAAACCTAGAAACTTATCTCTCTTCTAGCTGAGAAAAAAATCGGTAGGCTATAAGTGGATGTCTACTATCAAGCAGAATACAAATGGTACAGTTGAAAGATAAAAAACAAGACTAATAGCTAAAAGATTTACTCAGATATATGACATATACTATCAGGAAACATTTGTCCCTATGATTAAGATGGAATTCCATTCACATCCACTCTCGTGTTGCCAATCTAGGATAGCAACAACTGGATGTAAAAAATGCATTTCTTTTTGAAGACTTGGAGAAAGAACTGTACATGGATATTCCTCCGAGTTTTTCTTCTCCAGTAAGAAAAAATATATAAGTTAAAGGAGTCTCTTTATGGACTAAAGAAGTCCCCTAGAGTTTAGTTTGACAGACTTCATGAGGCAATGATCAAATTTGGGTACAAACAAAGTTATGTAGATTCACACGATATTCATCAAACAAGGGAATGACAAGGTCTCAGTTCTCATAGCATATGTTGATGACAAAATAATTACCAGTGATGATGCTAAGGAAGTGTCCAAATTGAAAGTCCATCTTACTAAAGAATTTAAGATCCAAGACTTGGAGCGTTAATGTTATTTTTTAGGGATTGAAGTGATCAGATCAAATAAAGATATTTTTCATCCCGTAGAGGAAGTATATCTTTGATCTTCTGAAGGAAACTAAAATGCTAAGTTGTAGATTGACAGACTCACCTATTGAGATAAACCACAAACTGAGAAGTAATGAAGGTGATCAAGTTGATAGACAAAGATATCAAAGGCTTGTTGGGAGACTCATATACCTTTCTCACACTCGCCCAGATATAGCATATGCAATGAGGGTTGTTAGTCAATTCATGTATGCTCCTCGAGCCCCTTATCAAAAGGTAATTCATTGTTTCTGAAATACTGTTCTCGAAGTAGGATCGTCTCAGATTAAAAGCTTTCACACATGCAGACTGGGCAGGGTCAATTGGAGATTGTGAGGTCCAACTACAAGATACTGTACCTTTGTGGGATGAAATCTAGTAACTTGGCGAAGCAAGAAACAAGTAGTGGTGGCTTGATTTAATGTAGGGGCAGAATACTGGGCTATAGGTCATAGTATTTGTGAGTTTGTGTGACTGAAAACCTTAATGGATGAATTATGTTTATCTAATGGTGACCCTATACGTCTGTATTGTGACAATAAAGCTGCCATAAACATTCCCCGTAACCCCAGTTCAGCATGACAGAACAAAGCATATTGAGATTGACAGACACTTCATTAAAGAGAAGCTGAATAATGGATTGATTTGTATGCCCTTTGTGACATGGAAGGAACAATTAGCTGATGTGTTTACTAAGGAACTTAGTAGCATAATTTTTTATTAAGATGTATGCAAATTGGGTATGAAAGATATCTATACTCCAACTTGAGGAGGAGTGTAGAATGTTAGGATATTTTAACTAAGGGTATTATGAATTAATATATATATATATATATATATATATGGGTGATGAGGGGAGAGATTAGTTAACTCTCACTCTCCTTATCCCTATTCTCTAATCTCTTTCTTCTCTCTTTTTTTCTCGTCTCCTCTCCATTCACCTTCCAACTAAAATAAATGACACCAAGTTTACCTTTCATTAATGAGTGGTCTGGGAGGTGTAGGTGGTGTATAGACCTAACCTTTAACATTCTTTGCACAAAGTACCTAACTGAGGTTCAAACCAAAAGCCTCAAGGTTATTGGAACCAAGCACAAGTGGTCCCCTGAACATTCAGGCTAAAATAACTCTGAAAAACAAGAGTAACCTTCATCATCAGTTTGTTAGTAAAGGAGTAATAACCCAACGTAGTTAATCGTCCATTTGTCAGGTGTTGCAGTCATAATATATGCATGAGAAAGTAATTAAAGGCTCAATATGCAAAGAGGCATTTTAAACATGAAGCAACATTCTATCAAATTTCCAGGTCTCTTGTAAGAAATTACTTAAGTGCAAAATTGCATCACACCTTGTACGAGTTTAAGAACTGCCGAAGTAATGAAGATGCTCATGACATCTTCAAGTATTGCTGCCTCAAATACTTGCAGGGGAGATTCCAAGTCATGAGATGCCATAATTATCATCGCCTAGGAAAAGACAGATATAGTTTAGCAATAGCAACCCAGATCCCTCATTAGAAGACATAAGCAATAGGCACACTCATTTTGTTGCTCTCAGACACCTGAAGGGATAGAATGAAAAAGCTCCACATTCTATCAAAGCTTCTGAAAATCTGCCAAAACGAACGGATCTCCACAAAGTTTATTTTCCCCAACCATTTTTGCTCCCACACTTCATCCTCTGTATCCTGAATATATGCATGGGATAAATAAGCAATTTCTGGGATACAATGTTAGTGATAGATCAAAATCATGAGGCATAAACTGGTCTGTTTGTTTATCTATAGACTAATTAGACTTAGTACAATTTGTCACAAGAGGAATGGATTCATGACAATAAATCATAACTCCTGCTTTTGACCACTTAGTCGCATGACATAGTTTCATTGCTTTGGAACTAGAAGAACAATAGAATAAGAAAAGAGAAGGCATGAAAATCTCACTCTTCGTATGACCTCTAGCCCAAAAAGTTAAAAATAAAAAAGATACAGCTGATGGCAACCATATTTTGGGGATTCTGAAAACATCGAGACCAAGCAATGGGAAAGTCAGCTGACATATGTTACTCCTTATGGTGTGTTCCTTTGAAGAATGATACAGATCTATACCTCAAACATCTTGGCAAAGGTGGAATCAGTCAAATTCCCAATTTCTGTCCATACTGGAATGTCCTTTTCATGGTATTTGTTGAATAACATCATTACTATTACCTACTTTGATCCCTGTTAATCAAGGGTGCTAGGAGGTGTGGGGTGTATTAAATCCAACCATTGGCATTATTTCCACAAAGTAGCTTCCCTCAGATCAAACCTACAACCTCAAGACTGTAAGTCTAAAAAATTATTAGCAATCCCAGTGGGTTCCTTTCCAAATCAGCATTGACAGTTATAACACATGATTCATCAATGTCATCACCCATTTCAACTTTCAAGGAAAAGAGTGCTACCTGTCATGATAAATATTTAGTGATTGAGATAAAAAAGAGAGGTAAGGCAGCACCTCCCGTGCCAGCAAGTTAACTATTGAACTCAACTAGTCCAGTTCCATCAATAAGCACTTGAACACTTGGCATAAGGATATCTGTGATGTAGATGTTTTGAATATGGCAGATGGGGAGTAGGCATAATGTCGTTTTACACACGCACACAAAAACAAAAACAAAAAAGTAGAAAAACCAAGCAACTACTATCCGACACAGTCAATCTGACAAAAATATCAGTAAATGCAGAGGTACATATGTGTACACATGAACTGATAGACATGAAGGTGTACAGTATCTAAAGACCACCAGGTAAGTGTTCTTATACGAAAACCAGAAAATAACCATTTAGTGAAAACCCTTTCAACAAGCTAGGAACACCACTCTACTCCCTGTTACACCAAAACAGTTTCTGAAGTTAGGACTCTTTATGGAAAGCATAGTTAGTGCATCTCAATTATGATGGGAAAGTCTATACTCCAAAATTACCCTCCAACAGTTTAGAAAATTGTATTCAGTTGGTTTCCACTTCAACATGACTAGACATGTGGGGAATAGTACAGAATACGCTATATTCCATTCAAAATGGAAGGACAGATGAAGCATTAACATCCATGAGTGAGGTTGGACAGTCTGTGAAAAAAATTGTGTAGTTATGCCTTCTCTTTAACTGCAGGTATACAACAAGCATGTATAGGCAACGTGAACAGGCATAGCTTACCCCCATTTCTTCGTCTTCCTTTTCTTCTATCTTGTTTTCCTTAACTGCCCCAATTAACAATCGAGATTTTGTGACTTTGCGATCATTAGAACACTGTACACAGAAGAAATCATGGTCCAAACGCATGGGCCAACCTATGTGGAAGCATTCAGGAGACCTGCAGAAATGGAAGCTCAGAAAAGTAGATTCTCCTAGATCCTAAATTATCGGAAACAGATAAGTATGCTCAAAATTTAATCCTGACCAAAAATACTCATTCAAGTCATCATAGTTTCTCCACGTAGAATGGTCAGTGGTCCCATTTCTGTTTTTCATAGCTTCCTTCAACGATAGGCACAAAGAATCAGAAAGTGGATTGAAAAATACAAATGTTAGCATGCATCATAGAAATTTAGGTACCTCATGTATAACACCATATAGAGGGGTAACAATATTAGTAAGGAAAGACTCAGGTCCTCCTCCATATGCTGGCATGACCTTTTCGCCAGTCGTCTTGCTGACAGCACAGATCAACATACTATGCAATTCATATGCCATCTGAAAGATAACACATGGAGAAATAAAAATACCATTAAGACACCTAATTTATATTAAGACCTCTAAGGAGTCTATATATTAGACATACATACTTATCATAATTTGCATAATGCATCACAATAGAACCATACATAATCAGTCAATATCTGTTAATTACTCTTTTTCAGTGTCTATGTTCCCCCAAACTATTTATTGAGCTGTTTATCATTTTATTCCCAAATGATTAAGTTTACAGGATTGCATAAGTTAAGAGGTTCTGTCGGCTCATTTAATAAGATATCATTTGAATATCTACAACATAAAAAAATTGCAAAATTAAGGTAATTAGTCCTAAAACCCCTTCAAAAAAGTTGTAGCTGCAACTGAAATTTAGTTTTCATAAAAAGTCGTCGTGAATATGGAACGATGCCAAATTATTCCGGCTAAGAATTCTACACTTAGTTTTGCATCAAAATCGTACAAATTAGGAGCAGACTTGGAAGTAATACAATATGTGATATGCATGTAAAAGAGAAACCTTCAACGAAGGGCATGACAGGAGTGAGGGACAATGACTTCTTTGTACGTGTAATAATCACAGAAGAAACACACAGACAACATAGAGAAGAAAATTGCAAGGACAAGGCCAATTGAAGACAAAAAAGCCAGAAAGGGTGGAAATCCCAAATAAGAGGTGCAAGCTCTTTTGTTGGATAGGAGCTTCTCTTTTCCCTTCGAAAACTCCAACTCTAGTTGAAGACCAATGAAGAATTGCATTTACATCCTTTCTGTATATAACACATACTAAAATACCGAAACCCGAATTTTATCAGGAACATCTCAGTCAAAAAACTGAGCGATTAACAAATATGAGAAATGATCCCTGAAAATTCATCTTATCCAAATTGTACACTGTTTCTAAAGAGCACCGATGCAAGTTAATTTAATTTATCTTGTACAAGAATCAAGGAAGACCAGGTCTAACTTTTTTTAGAGTTGGAAAGCCCAAATACTGTCACCTAGTCACAAATAGCATGGGGATTGTATTCACTTAAACTCCTTTAACGCAGACATCTAAGAAGGCGTCAACAAGCTGATCTCACCATCAGAGCATCCAACCAAAAACCAAATGGAAGAGGTGGAGTGAACCTTCAAGTGTACAAACCAACCTTGGGTCTACTTATTTACGATGTGGGATAGTTCTCTTCACGCCCTGCCTCGCCTGTAACACGGACTCGCACATGCACTAACAACCCGTCTTGAAGTAGATGAACAACAGACTGGAGCTGAACTGAAGCGAACAGATAAATAGACTGAAGCTGAATCGAAGAACATAGCTAAAACAGACGGGAATTCAACCGGTGAGAGATTAGGCCCACCCATCACCCAAGTATATAAACCAAACCTAGATCGTTTTCAGTGTGTGGTAGCTCTCTTCACACTCAGATTAATCAAACATCTACCCTGGGATCTTCCTAAGAAGACAAACGATAATGCACCCCATTAGATAGTCCTTCCTCTCATTGCAACGACTGATCAGAGTCAATCCTTTAAATTATCACCTACTAATGCTCTTAAAAGGAATAATCAATACAGAAGTTATATAACCAAATCCAACCCCACGAGATTATATTATCCCAACCCTTACCCCCAGAAACATGCTATTTTCTCCAAACAGTTAGCCTCATAATGACTATATGATAACCAGACCCATGAAAAGTTGCTTAAAAGGGAGAACCATAACAAACAGGACTGGAGATTAAGATTTCACAGCATCAGAAACTATAATAGGCCTTAAAAGATGGACGTTATACATGTAACTGAAAGTTATTTTTTCACTTTCTGAGAAGAAAAAAAAAAGTTGTTTTTTCAAATGATTCAAATTAGCAAAGTCAAGACAAAATCCTCTACAGATTGTTCATTGGCCGGGGAGTGTTTACCAAGTTCCTAAGCTCTTGTTAACCGACGTGCGTATGTTAAATAAGGCATGTTTCAAAACTCACAGATAAAACAGAGTTCTTAAAATGAGATTAGATGATAAAGGTCGGTCACAAAGAAACACCAGAGACCAACAAAATTTCATCTTACATGGTGAAATATATAACAGAGGCACTCTGGCATAAACCGTAAGTTTGCAGCCTCCCCCCATATAAGAAGATAAAGCCCTATATATAAAATTTTATGTTGTTGGGCCTCCGGTTTCACATATGGCAACCTGCAGAAGAGAATGAAAAATAAAAAGCAATAAAAGTGAGAAAAAAAAAATGTAGAAAAGGTAACTCAAAATATTCTAAACAGAAAAATGGCATTGGGATATAGTTGTTGAGCAACAGAAGAAAGAAAGATAAACGATGCTAATGGGAGTCAGAGAAGCACTGAAAGAAAAGTGTGTCCCCTAATCGATTTCTAACAAGGATGGAGGATTATGTGGTTCTGTTCATGTTAGATAGAAACAGAAGAGGTGCAGGAGCACTGAACTATCAATCTTACCGGATGTTGCTTTTTCTCCCTAAAAATTTACACCAATCTGTATAATTTTTGAAAAACTTCTTCATCAGTGCATCCACGGCTCCATCTGCTAACTAATATCATACAAGAAATATCAAATTTAAGTATAGATAATGAGGTTATTTCTATTAATGAGAATTGTATTTAACTTTAAGAGTACCTTCGACATAAATGTTTGCTTATGACTTTGCCGTATATGGGTGTTAGCCAGAAGTAGAATTAAATGCTCCCTTTGGTTTGCAACATTTCCTTTCTGACAGACGACAAACAGAGTTAACCTCAGGAGAGCAGATGAACAATATGAATGTCAAAAGATATAGTGTATCTTAAAATGTGCTGGTAAAACTTGAAAACAACGAAGTCTACACTGTGTGCAGATCATTTATTAAAAACTCAAAACCAAATGGCAATGTGTGAAAGGCCCACAAGGCTAATAGACTAGCTTGGGAGCCCCTATAATATTGATATGAGACAAGTTCTAATGCTCCCAGCATGTCTAAGCCCAACTCACACATGGAGAAGCAGCCAAAACTGTAATACGGCACAAGAGACGTTACAGGATGCAGACCTGACAAAGGGGGAGCCAAATACCAAATTAATTAAATTTTGAATGGAAATGCTTGTCCACAACTTCCCGAAACTAGCTCTCAAATCATGATCATCCACCTAATCAATTTTGTTTCGGCTGTGAGAATGTACATATACAAGAAGTACCGAAAGACACTACCTGAAATCCAAAGCACAATTGCAGCCAATCAAACAAATCTAAGGAAGGCGCGAAATCTTCAAAAACAGGTAAACCACGAACATTACGAACAGCAGCTACTGCAGCTTTAATCTGTAACATTTTATTAGTGTATCAACAATCTCATTCCATTTTATCAAAAAATTACATGCTACAGAGAACACACTAATATAGGTTGACACAGTGAATCAGCCTCAAAAAAGCCACTGGACAGCATAGTGTGTTTGAACTGCAGCAATTGAGGGGCTTAGTATTTTAAGAGTACCAGATACAAGTATAATCATATTCAACTAATAATGTAAGGAACATTTTACTGGGTTATCTTACTATAACGGACCTCAGGGAGTTGCATTATTGCTTGATGAACACCTCCTTGATCAAGGGGTAGAATGTTATATGGCACAAAAGCATTGATGCTGCCAGTATCAGTGAGGGCCTATTAAGGAGACAAGGAGTAAAATGAAGATACATGATGTAGTAGAAAAATCAGCAAAATGATGAAGTGCTTTTTTAGCAAAGACGAAGGATAAATGGAAGAGGAAGGAAATCAAAAAGATAACACGTGTAACATAAGTACACAAAAGAAGAAGAACAAAAATGAAACCTGAGAACCTGCCGCATTAGTAACTATATGCAATACTTCATTTAAAACAGAAGCAATTGCACGCGCTTTACTCAACTTCTCGCTGTCAAAATTGGGGCAAAGCCGCAAAACTTCAGATTAATTTCCACTGGCGGAAACAAAAGCAATCCCCTACACTTTAGTTAAGTAGAAGCATAGTACACTATCTGGAATAACGATCACTCACCTATTTTCCAGATTACATTCCCCACCATGTTTGATAATGTAGTTTTCGTACTCACGATAAACACGTTTGAGTTCACGTAAATCATTCTTTTCCCTCCTTTTTCTGAAAGTAACTTCTTCATCCTGTAAAACTCAAAATAACAAAAGCAAGAATAATGCAAAATGTAATATGGAAGTTTCTGCAAAAGAAAAGGAAAACTTTCCAAAAAATGTTTGCTGTTGCCTCACTATTGTTGATTGTATAGAATTAATTTGATGGGTACAGATATGCCACATCTCCAAAACCATAGACATTGAGGGAGTGGTTGAAATTGGATAAGGAAATAGTGCTTGTTTTCAACCATCAACTTCGCAATTTTTTCCTTTTTGGGTAGATAACTTTCAATTTTCTATCACCTATGTAATGGAATATTGGACTTAATTTTTGGTCAGTCGAGAAAGGGCACAGAATAAATTGAAAGCCAAAGCATCATGCATGCAGGGCCTCATATTTTGGCTTCATAATAAACCACGTCTTTCTGCAAAACAAATGAATTTGTGGAAGTTTGTAAAATTTTACAGCAATCAAGAGTAAGTCGCTGGAATTCATTTATGCTAGAAGGTGAATCACAAGGCAGACTACCACAATTCATCTGCACAAAGGTGTTATAAAACAAGAATTTCATGGATAACATATGGAAGCACTAAACTGCTCGTATTCATTCGGTGGAGATATCAGACAGTGATAATTAGAGTTGTCAAATGTCGAATTTCCATCAAGCAGATGGAGGACAATAAACTCATTTGCTATGCCCAAAGCTAGACTATGTGCAACATTGTGCTTTCACCCGCTAAACATACAGCATTAGTGAGAGACAAGTAAAAAGTGGGCTCATTGCTGCTTTTAGAACTTAAACACATAATGCAACAAGAATACAAAGGAAGGCAGGCCGCGCTGGTCATGACCAATATTATAATCAGATGATAATCATACAATTTATCAAATCAAGTGGCCTTACCTCATCTATTGCTAACCATGCAAGTATTTCAGAATTCAGATCCTAAAAAAAAAACAGTACAACAAGGAAGTGCTAGGAGAGCGACATATTGAGGAAAGTTTTTGAATGAAACTGCTTCTACAAAATAGTAGGGGAATAAATTCTAGCTCCTATGCTTTCTGTGCAAGTCAATTCATCCTAAATTCTTGTCAGTGAAGACAAGAAGTTGGCGTAGGTGAATATAGATTTTGAACCTGCTGTATTTCAGTATCGCTAACCACTAAAGCTTAAACTTGAATATGTAACTACCTGTTCAAGTCTCTGAAGCAGAGATGTTTTGAATTGTCTTACACCCCGTCCACTCGAATGCCGGTCCAAGTTATGGGCTACTTCAAAAGCATGAAACCGGCCTGCTCACATTATCGAATTAGGCCATAAGGAATTCATTCAGCACACATTCCATGTATGTAAAACATACTAATGCCAATAGGTACGAGTTTTGCTACTCTGTTTGGTTGCCAAAAAGAAAGGAACTTAAAAGAAATCGTAATTCTTTCTTGGTTGAGATGGAATAAAAAAAAAAAAAAACTGCTCAACTAAGCTATTTACACAAATTTAGTTTAGTTGAGATGGATTTTATCTTTTCTTTGAAATCATCAAAACTGCATGACACTCAAAGATTCGTTTTCTTTCCTTTCCTCCATTTTCTATGAAATCCAACAAAAAACCATTTGTTCAATGCAAAAAGACAAGAAAAATAAGCTATGCACTTAAGGAAACAATAAACCAAATATTCTAAGGTTTCCATTGGCAGAAACCCAATAAAGAATTTCATCTCCACATCCATATGATCTTTGTTACAATATATAATGCACCCACTAATACAAATCAATAGAAACCCACAAAAGAGACTATCTCTAACCAACCAATTACAATGGACTTACAGAGATAAGCAACACGAGGCTCCTCAATTTCTATTAGATTCGCGATGCGAAGAAACCTTCGAATCTCAGGAATCAAAGTCACCGGCAACTTCTCACTATCAAAGGGGTCAGGCACACTATCACGCCCAGAAGTAATTGATCTTGTAAAGGGTCTTGTATTAGTTGTAGTGTAGACTCTTCTTGTACTAGTACCAACACTACTGGGCTCTGCAACAACAATCTCTGACATTGTTGAAAGAACCAAAGAAAGCTTGGTTGTGAAGAAGAACAGGAATGCATGGGGGCGAGAGAGTATATATGGGATCTTAGATGTATATGCATGTTGGGTTTGGTTAATGAGACTTGCTTTTTGGATGCTTTTTGGTGAATGGAAAGAAGGCGATGTTGGTGTGATCTTTTGCTTTTGCTTTTGCTTGTCATGGGAGTATGGTGGGCTTGTGGGTGTCTGATTTGTTCCTTTTTTTTTTCTCAACTGAGAGAAGGAAGTGAGAAGGTGAGTGTGAGTTTTTTGGACTGTTGAATGTAAAGAGGAAGTTGGAATGACCTTTTGAAGGTGACTAATGGGCGGGTTTTTTAATGTTATGAAAGAATGAGAGACAGAGAGAGAGTTGAAGCCAAACTGCAACTTCCAAAAAGAATGATGTAAAAAAAGTCCAATGCAATAATGTGGCCAAGTTCATTGTTAAAACAGTGGAACAAACATGAAACTCTTAACTCCAGAGTTCCACAACATCTTATTGTTATATATAATAAGGTATGACGAAATCAATTATTTTTCATCTTATTGTTATATACAGAGCAATTATTTTCATAATTCGAATTCGTAAAGTCCAAGTTATAATACCTCATTGATATACCATAATTGCATGTATTAGAGTGGATTAATGTTATTTGATTGATCTAGTTTGAGTTATTATTGGCCTAATACAGCACTAAAGCATATGTTAGAAAAGCTACCTTTAATGCACCATGCATAAAAGGGCCCATGTCTCTCTGATTGCATGTTTTCAATATGTTAGTCTACCAGTTGTCTTCCAAAAAAAAATATTTTTTTATTAAAGGGCAGAGCAAAGAAATAAAACTTTTTTTTTTGCTTCATTTTTTTGTTACATGGTTTGAAGACTTGTGTCGATTATTCCATCAAACTCTGAGGCTGACTATCGTTTCTTAAGCTAGTTTTAAGAACATATCCCTTGTTACATGATTTTAAGACTTGTCTCAATTATTCCATCAAGCTCTGAGGCTGACTATCGTATCTTGAGCTAGTTTTAAGAACATATCCCTTGAGGAGGAAGGTGATTGGCCTTAAGAGGTGTGAGAAGTATCAAACATGAGAACTTTTGCTTACAAGAGAACATACTTACCACTGAAGTAATACTGATAGTTAAAAAAAAAAATTGTTTTTAAGGAATGCAAGGGAAAGAAGCAAAGCACGAACTGAACAGTGCTGGACAAATTTGTTTTGGTGGAAACCTTCTGGAATTAACTTTTTCCTGAAGAAAATAATATTTGAAAAGACCATGGCATGTTCATGGCTGTTACCTATTTGTTCATCTCACTTTATTTTCTAAAGTTAGTAAACTAGTGTATAATTGCCACAATCATGTAATAGTAATTGAACAGGGCCACGAAGGACAAGAAAAAGAAGCATACAGTTGAAAAGTAACATGCTTTACTCTTTTTGATCAATTTCTTCCTCACTAAGAATATAAAAGATGTGTAATTATATTATATTTACTAAACAAAATTATTGTCTCACCTACATTCCAAGTTTTAATTTGATAATCAATCTATTTCAAACAAGATAAGACTGTTTACCACTCACTTCTAACAAATCCATTAGACAAAAAGAAAAAAAATATGATAGTTGTTTACACCACGATAAAGTATCTGTTGCGGGTGGAAGATTCCGAATCACAAAACTTACATAAAAAAATAAGTATTGTTGATCCCGAATTTCTTGCTGAAACAGTAAACACCAACTCTTCACATTCTTAACTGACATTCTTCCTCAATCGTCTCATGTTTTGAATTTTGAAAAGTTAAGCATCGGATATGCTTTCATTCCATAGGTCTGTAGGTTAAGATTGCAAACTTTTTTTAAGGTTTTTTATGGGTAAACAATGGTGGGTCTATGGAAAAAGTGACCTTTTGTTTTTTTTGAAGTTCTGATTTCCTTTTCCCGACGTCGGCAAAGGGTATTCGCTGTTTGCATTCGTTGTTCCGCCTTCGGTTCTTTGCATTCGACAATTAACTAGTAAGTTTTCTATTTTTTTTTAATTTAGTTGTTTACATATAAACCATAATGGAAAATCAGAAGCTCAATTCTTTTATGTGTTTTATGTTTTTTTTTGAACAAAAATCATCATATTTTTTTACTGTGTTTTGAAGATATGTTAGGTTTCAGTAATTTCTCATTTTTTTTCTGTTCAATGTTGCATTATAGAACCCCCAAATCATAAAATCCCTAACCACTTTGTATTTTATTAAGCATTAATTTCTGCTTTTTATCAAAATCCATCATGTTGTTAATATTGTTTTGATATTTAAAGAGTAAATCAATTTAATTTGAAAATATGGACAATGTCGCAATGTGTAGTACATGAATTATAAAAAAATCAAATGAGATGGTAAGATGTAATATTCTGTCAATTGATGCTTCCTTTTCACCTAGGGAACATAGTTAATCTATTAAAATTTTAAAAAAGGATATCACTTTGTATTATGTCCTAACTTAGTATGATGTAACATTTTGCAACATTGCATTTTTATGATTTTTGGATTAGGTTGGTGAAATATACTGCATAGAGTTACAATATGGAGTGACAATATATTGGTGAGAATCCATATGGCTACAAAATTTTGTACCTGCTCATAAAATTCCCTAATTTTAAACATGACTTTCTTATATGGCCAATTTTTGGATTAATTTTATATTCATTTGATAAAGCGGTGTAATTTTTACGCACATTGACAGCATACATGTGTTACAGTAATCACCTAAGATAGAGTGACATTGTAATGTGTAATCAACTGAGATAGAGTGACATTATAATGTTACATTGAAATATCACTCTACTTTTTTCAATTCCATGTTTTTGTGAAAATAGTATTGTTCACTGTATGTTGTAACTTCGTTGTTTAATTGGTGGGTCCATTGAATTTGTCTAAAATTCAATGGACTTTGTGAAACATAGTTCATGTAGGTATAGTGCATATTAAAAAATAATTTAACGTTGTTACATACAGTTACATAATAAACAAGTAATCAAATTTATTCTTTCATACATTGTGTCAAAAGTATCATATTATTCTTGGTTAACACAGGAAAATGGCAAAAAAACATTCAACAATATCCAAAAAAATTGAAGTAAAATGAAGGAGAATATTGCAAAATCAAGTGAATGGGTCAACATATAGTACACCTGGCAAAGGAGCAGTCAAACAGGTTGAAACAAATGTAAATGAAAAGTCGTTAGACCCACAATATAGATCAAATATGTTTGCAATCATATGAAAAATACATGAAATTGTTTTGCATGAAGAACACAAGCAATCATTGCGAAAAATACCTTTTCGTTTAATCTTTGAAAGTATCATAGAGAACAATTTTGAGAAATTATGGTGCAGAAAGAGTGACAACAACATACTACCTATAATTTTGTGTTTCGACCCTGAAACATCAAAATTCAGCATTGGTGGTGAGTGGCTCAAATTGAGGGAAAATGGTGTCACTCTAATATTTGGAATTGAAGATAGAAGTGAGACAATAAATGCAGCAAACCATGGGAAGCAGTCGACTGCATTCGTTCAACGGAGGTTCAATAGAGATGATAGGTTGTCTACACCATTGATTAAAAATAGGTTGAAAGAAGCAGTAGACAGTAACACACAGGAAGACTACGATGACGTAGCAAGACTATTATGTTTATACTTAAGGGTTACTCTATTTTTCACAAACCTGGATGAGACTATGTCCCATATGTGGAGGATTTGGATGAGATGAAGACTTTTGATTGGGCACAAGCCATACATGATGCACTTATGTCATCTTTGAGGAAAAAAACGAATAGCCCATCAACAGTCACTGGATGTGTCTATCTTATACCTGTAAGTTTATTGTTAAAAACTTGTTTGTTGATGAAACATGAAAAAAAAAAATTTGTTGATCCTTAATTTGCTAATTTTGTAGTTCTGGTTATGCGAGCACATAACCCTACTAAACCCCGAGAAGCCAGACGCATTTCCAAGATTCTTGAAATGGAAATTACCAAGTCTACAAAGAGCTATCAAGCAAGGGAATATGCAAAAAATCAAGCATGTATGTTTTGTTATAATTACAGTTAATTATTATGATTATGCATACACTTAAGTTGTTTTTTGTTTTATTTCACAATGGTGTTTATTTGTTATTTTTATTTATAGTGATAACAAACTGTGACAATATTATAATGTTATTCTATAAAACATCATTTTTTTTGCCCATATAGGTTTTGAAAAAAAGATTGAAAAAACCAAAGAAGAGAAGAGGTTATTCAAATCACTTCGGCTTCAAAAAGCGATGTTTGTAACTAAGGAAGAAATGGGAACAACAAAATTGGAGAAGTCCAATGAGGAAGAAATAGTCGTGGAAAAACAACATTCAGAAGAAATGGTTGATGACATAATACTTTACAATGAAGATGAAGCATTGTTTGATGATGATGACACAATATTATGGATATTATTGGGGATAAAGACAAAGAATCTGAGCCCTTTGAAGCATTACTTGATGTTGTGACCTTTGAGACCACACAAAGAGACGGAGAAACCAAGTTTGAGAGAGCTGAAGCATATGCTGACCAGATACAAGATAATTTTATCAACAAAGAAAGGATTGGGGTGTTAATAATAGAAAATGAAGAGTTGAAAAAGGTGATCAAATGCATGGAAAGGAACAAAACAACTAAAAAGCAAGGGGAGAAATATACAGATAATGTTGTCATGGAAACACAAGTCCCAGATTTCGTGATAAAACTGATGGAGAAAGATATACAAATTTCTGAGATGGAGAATCTTGTGAAAGTTATGAAGAAGGAAAATGATAATGTTAAGGCTGAAATGACCTAACTTGAAGTAAAGAGTAGAGAACTGATCGACCAGATCAGCGAGTTGTCTGTGCATGCCATTACTCAACGGTTCCATAATCTATCAAATCAAGTGCATACCCAGGTATAACACCAAACTGTGATGATCAAATACAACAAGTCCAAAACACAACATCAAAAGTGGGGCAATCTTCTAGGGTTAGAAGGATCAAATTAAAAGAGAGGAAGAGGAATAGAGATGCAAATTATGAGTACAGTAAAAGGAAAAGAGGAAAGAAAGAGAATGCCACATTGCATAAATTGAAAAAAGGTAAAGGGATCGTCAAACTCAGCAACCAAAATGAATGTGAAATTATTAATATTGATGACTCAAATGGGAAGACCACTACACTGCAAGAAACAAGCAAGAAAGAAATTGCTAAGTGGTGGAAAGGTTGCTAAGCATTGGCTCCCCAAGAATACAACAAATTGAAGCGAATCTACAACTCGACAGGTGACTTGTAAGTATTAAAAATTCCTAAAAAAATAAATTATACTTCTGTATTGTATATGAAAATAGTGTAACACTATTTTGTTACAATATGTAGTAAAGATATATAACTTTAGAACATGTTTCATATTAGAATGATCCATGTGAGGCAACTAATCCTAGTCAAGTATTATTATCAATTTTTCATTAATTTGTTTTGGTCTGGTTATTATTTTGTAGGACTATACTATGGCACAGAAGAGGTGTCAATAATTATATAGATGTTAAAGATGCACTTAAGTTGATGGGTAGCTGTCAGTTGTACAACATTGTATGTTTTATGATGTTTTGAATGTGTATTTACACTATTTTTTTTAAAAAAACAAAAAATTGAATGATGCAACTTCGTTATGAATATCATTTAAGTTTGTTTGTCTATAGTTTAATGAAAAACCATATCTTGTATTAGATTATAGACTCTTGGGCTGATATGTTGCTGGAGATGGATGAAAACAACGAATCCTCCACATTTAAGAGACGATGTTTTTTCTTCAAAAGTCTCTGTTGGGTAAGTTAGTTCAACCTTAATAATGAGTAACTATAGTTTGGTTTTATGTTAGATAACATATATTAATTTTCTCATTTATTTTTGTAGTCGATGGTAATTTTTGATAATCTAGCATATGCAAGAAAATTGGAAATAGACGACCATCTATTGGTTGGACAAGAATCTCAATTCCTAGTATTTCTAATGAACTCAAATGGTCAAAAAGGTTCTCGTGTTCCTTCCCACTTGACATTACTTATGTTAGACACTGAAAATGGGATTTGGACACACTACAACTCTTTCAAGCCAAGGGAAAAAGGAGTACTTGACCCTTGGCTCGAAGATGGAAAAATATTGGTAAACCACAATTCCATTTCCTTTTTTTGTTAATATTTTCCAAAAACCTACAACGACTAACAAGTTTGTGCATGTAACAGAAAGATAATGTGGAGAAAAAGATTTCGGAGATTCAAATTGCAATGAGCACCCTCCTCGACACACGAGACAGGGTGCTACCCATCATATCATACGACAAATGTTCATAACAAAAATCTAACTCGTATGTAATTCTCATAATATTTTGTTGGAAATCACCGAATGTAATGATATTAACTGCATTACCATTTTTTAGTGTCGACTGTGGTTTGTTTGTTTGCAACATAATGAAGAAGCTTACTGATGGTGCTCGGAATTTCTCGACCCAAGCCCAACCTATGGACTATGGTTGTTTGGTTCTTGCGTTGCGATGGATCTGGGAAATTAAACGGAAAAGAACACAGAAAATAGGTTCACCTTAGCCAAGGGACTAAGACTACATCCACTGTAATGGAGGCTCTTGCTCCTGAATGCAGTGTATTGAAGTTCTATGCGACGCAGTGAAATTACAAGTATCGAGCTGTTCTAGGCGAGGGTTCCTTTTTCCTCTCTGGGGATCTCTCTCTCTAGGGTTTTTCTCTCCTTTTTCTAGTAAGGCACTGTTCCTTATATAGTGGTTGTTCCTCCGAAGATTCCTTATGACTTTTCCCGCCATCCCGTCGACCCTGTGGGGACCTCCTACTGCTACCCTGCAAAAGCCTTCCATCCACCGTCGCTACTGTGCCCATGATCTCTGGGCCCTGAGTTCCACCATCCTCTTTGTTTGGGAGGATGTTGCAATAGCTAATTTCAGAGATGGTCTATTGTCCCTTGCACACGTGGAACGACAGGGTTGTTAAAGGGAGAGTAGTCTGTCTCCTTCCTGGGTTCTAGCTGGGCTAGTGTTCGATTAGGCCTAGGTTAGACGACCCTTTGTAACGTGCTTCCCTTTCTTCAACTGAGCAAACTTATAAGAGACCTTCCGGCTAGGGGGGCTTTTAGTCCCCAGTTCGTCGGTGGCCCAAGCCCAAAATCTCACACCCATCAGTTGCCCCCCAGCCCTTGGTCACGAGGATGACATTACCTCGGGCCTGGGGTTAAAAAATGTCTTCTATTGTTGTGAGAGACATGCTTGGATAGTCGGCCCGATCATGATTTAGGTTGCGTTGTGCTCCGCCGTCCGTGATGATTTGGGATACATGTTGCTCACGGGTGCTCCAGCAGGCCCACGCTCCTTGGCGTATCCCATCACTTTTCAGTCTATAGTCTTTAATGTTTCGTGCTCAATAAAAAGGGGTAAGACTTTTTTTTTCCCCATTTCGAACTTCTCTCTTTCCAAAAGACCCTCCGTTTGCCCTTTTTCTGCTTCCTTTGGTATTTGCGGCACAATATCCTTAGCTTTTCGGCAATTTTAGGGCTCCTACAGTCTCGATCTTCCTTGCTCCTATCATATTTGCTAGGTATGTTTCTCTTCCCTCCTTCTTTTTCCTAGGTCGTCCTGGATCCCTACAACCCTCCTTGGTGGGGCTTCGGATTTCGGTTCCTGATCTGGAGGTTTAGCTATTTTAGGAGTCGTTCTAACGATCTCTCTTTCCTTCCCTAGTCATGGGCCCTTCTTGCACTGCTAGGTTATCCTACCTTAGGATTTGGTGTTTGAGGCCTTTGTTTTTAACGGACTATGCCTCGCATCTGCCCTCTCTTCATTCTAACTTATCGCTGGATTTTGTAATGGGGAAGTTCGTCGTCACGTCTTCCAATTATGGTGCTGTGGGTCAAGGTAGTGAGGAAATCAGCACCTCAGGGTCCTCTGGAGATCCTTCTATTTCTGTTGGCGAGGCAGAATTAAGGTCTGCCCTTGCAGTTTCCCCTTCCTTCTTTTGCTAGGGAGGTTTTGTGCTTCTTCAGTTTTTGTGCGGCCGCACTTCTTCCGGCGACTTGGGCAGTTTTGTTGGCTTTCTCCGCAGCTTAGGGAAGGCAGTTTCCCCAATCTAGGGTTACTGTGTCGGAGTTTCTTCAGTTTTATCATCCTGAGGAAGTTTCAGAGTTTGATCGCTTCGTTCCTAGGAAAACAGGGGAGTTCCCTATCCTTGACCTCCCTTCAGACCCTGAGGGCTGGCAAAGGAGGTATTTCTTTGTCTCAGGGGATGGCTAGGAATATGGAGCTATTTTTCCAGCGTCTTTGAGGGTTCCTATGGATTGGGGGCAGCATAGGAACCTTGGTAAGTCCCAACTTTCTCCTTTTCCCCTTGAAGCATTTGTTGTTACTTCCTAAATCTCTTGGTTTCCTTTTGTGCAGACGAACTTCCATCTTTGTCCGCGGAGGAACAAGGTTAAGTTAACCATCTCCGTGCTCGGCTGCCATTTTCATACGCCAAGCTGTTGCCCCCTGAGTTGGCCTCTCTACCAGGCGGTGGTGCGCTTTCGATGTCTCTCTGAATGGTTTTATTCCTGATCCGTTCAAAAATTAACTTTGCCATGTTCCATTTGCGCAGTTCCCTCATACATGGTTACTCAGCAGGCCATGATACTGGAGTAGGTAGATCGGCTGAGGCAAGATAAGGGCTTTGAGCCTGCGGCTAAAAGGCCTAGGTTAGGGGATTTCAGCTTAGCCCCTGTGCTAGTTGTTGGCACCGGTTCTGAGGTCCTTTTTGCCAATGGTGAAGCTTCGACGAGCCAGCCGTTTTTGAGTTTCCTGCCCGCTCATGATGTAGGGGGTTGGAAGATTTGAGCCCATGTCAGCTGCCACAGCTGGTACGATTTTGAGCAGCCCATTGGTGGGCCCAGTACGACTCGGGTCCTCCTAGGCTGGTGTGGTAGGTTCTAGCTCGGGGAGAACTGCATCCTCTCTATTTACTGACTAGGAGGGAGGCCTATTAAGGAGCGTGGCCCTAAGCAACGGGGCTTTGATGGAGCTGATCTCAGGCGCTCGGTGGACCTCCCTTTCCAGACCCGGAGTTGAGACACTCTTCATGCTCTTCTCGAGGTGAGTTTTTCCTTTTCCTGTATTCCATGTTGTCTTAGCGACCTTGTGACTCCATTTTCATTTTGCAGGTGGCGACTCATGTTTGTGCGCTGGGAAGAGAGGTTTTTATTACTCGAAACGAAGCTCAGATAGCGGTAGCTGAGCTCCAGGAGGTTCGCTAGTGTAGCACCGAGCTTCTAAGTTGGGGGTTGTCCACCGAGAGTGAGTTAGAACGAGCCGTTAACCAGCGAGCTCAGACTTTTCGACAGTTAATTGCCAGTGCCTCTGTCGAGATGTCCCTCCGAGAAGAGTTATCCCATGCTCAGGAAGACTATGATGCTCGGATGACAGATTTGCAAGATTTTTCTATTTCCTGGACTCTGCTAGAGGGGAAGTTGAAATAGTCTGAAGCGGTTATAGCTGACCTGAACAAGTCTTTAGCCGCTGAGTGCCAGTGGTCGAGAGCCAAAGGAAAGATATTGAGGGAGCCAGGGTGCAGGCAGCTAGGGCTTTTGTGGACGATTTCTTCAATTTTGCTGACCAGGCAATTGACAAGTTCCTTGACTTGGGTCTAGAGAAGTTTCAACCCCGCTTTGATGCTCCTTTTGACAGTGGTGCCCCCGATAAATGCTCCTTCGCCTGGGCAGTCTTGAAGTTTCGTCCTTTTGCAATATTTGTAAACATACCTTT